TTTCGGGCGCTCCTTGCCACCACAGCAACCGCCAGTAATCGCGGCGATGGTGGGAAGCTCGTCGTCTCGCCGTCAGAAGACCCGAGGAAATCATCTGGTGCAGCTGCGAGGCGTGTTCGTTTTTGCAAGATTGCCATCTCGATAGTCTGCGCGTCTGCTACTCCCGCCATCTTCTCGATTCCCGCTCCTGGCCGCAATGCCTGATGGGACTGCCCCCCGGCGCACCGCCGATTTTCTTGTAGCATCCTCGATCATCCGCACCGGTGCGCACCGGGGCACTGAGGTGCGCCCCTTCATCTTCGATCAAGTGCACCGGTGCGCACCGTACGTCCTCGATCAACGAAGCGCACCCTCCCGGTGCGGCTTTTCGTTGCCCCAACGTGCACCAAGAAAATCGGCGGTGCGCCGGGGGGCAGTCCCATCAGGCATTGCGGCCAGGAGCGGGAATCGAGAAGATGGCGGGAGTAGCAGACGCGCAGACTATCGAGATGGCGATCTTGCAAAAACGAACACGCCTTGCAGCTGCACTAGATGATTTCCTCGGGTCTTCTGACGGCGAGACGACGAGCTTCTCACCATCGCCGCGATTACTGGCGATTACTGGCGATTGCTGCGGTGGCAAGGAGCGCCCGAAAAGCACGAACTTCGTGGAAAGCGGCGCGAGGCGTTTTGATGACAGCGAGGTACGGCTATTATCTGGTGTTTCGTTTTCTTGAACTAATAATGATGGCCAACATATACATGTGGAATTGTCACCCGCTTCGTGACCCCATCGACAATCACGTCCACGATGTTTATTTTTGTGGGACCGTCAAATCCGCGAGTAAAAAAATAAAAGAAATTGACAGCAGACGGGCACCGTGCGCTGACCCTAGTGAAAAATACACCAGCTCGAGGGCTGGTGTGACTTGATGTTACACCAGACTTTTTCACAGATGTGATTTGGGACGTTTTCTGGTGTGACACCAGAAACCTGGTGTTCTGTTGTGACACCAGAAATCTGATGTGTGGGTATGACACCAGAAATCTGATGTTCTGATGTTACACCAGAAATCTGGTGTTCTGGCGGGACATCAGGTTTTCTTGTAATATGATACCAGACCACCTGTTGACCGGGTGTTGCTTTACTCACAAAAAAGTGTACAATGATAAGTTTGACAACAACGCTGCTGCCATAATTACTTTATTCAAAAAACCAAAAAAGCACAACAGTAAAGCTTCCGAAGCTTTACTGTTGTAGGGAGTTGGCCGTGATCAGCTGGAGTTTGTCCGGAGCCACTGCCGTGCGTCGAAGAACCGGACGCCCTGTCGTTCCGAAATTCTTGGCCTTTCAGCTTGCGGTTGACTCGTGTCTTAGTTACGCTGATCCGTTCCGCATACCCCTCCGCACCAGAAATTTCCTCTTCTAAGGCATCATATTCGACAGATAGCTTGATTTCCTTGTCCAGCTCTTTCAGGGAAGCCTCCTTAAGTAGAAGAATATCAAATGTTTCTCCGAGCTCACCGATGTCGGTTGGATCCGTGGCCAGCAGACGCCAGTCTCGTTGATGATCTTTGTTGTGGCGGCTCGCAGGGTAATCCTCTTTCGCTTCAGGCGGTCGACGCCCTCCTCGCTCGTAGTAGGCATTTCGGCCCCAAAACTCGTAATAATTACTAGCTTCCTTTGTTTCTTTGCTACCGAACCAAGCTCGTCGGAAGTAAGGAAAGCGCACTAACACATCTTTTCGGCTTCGACTCACAAAGAAGACTTCTTTACTTTCTCAAACTTAAACAAGAATACCGGCGGAAAGGGAAAGAGAAACCCTCGAAGAGGCGAGCCGGCGAGCGCCCCAAGCTGCTCAAGGCCGCCCGGGAAAGTGCTCGGGACGAGGGGGACACTTCTTGGGCACAAAGGAGCCCGCCGCGGGGTCTCCGGCGACCACCAAGACGGGAGGAAACAAGGCACCCCGACGGGGGACGGAGCGGCACACAAACTAATAGAAAACACGCGCGCGGACGGGGGGAGAAGTCAACAAAAACACAACTCTGGTGTCACATCAAACTGCGTGGTGTGCACACCAGGCTGCCTGGTCGGCGCATGAGTCCTTGTGGTGTGACACCAAACTCTCTTGGTGTACCCATCAGGCTGATGTGCGGGTACACCAGCATTTCTGGTGGGCACACCAGGCTGGTGTGCTCGATACATCAGCATCGCTGGTGGGCACACCAGATATTCTGGTGTCACATCAGGATTCTTTGATGTCACACCAGGATTGCCTGGTGTATTTTTCATTAGGGGACCTACGCAAAATAAACGAACAAAACGCGAAGTGACGCAAGATGGAGCTCGCCGCGGTGCACCGGCGCGACGCAGTTTGTCCTCGATGTTGCACCGACATCGCGCTGCACGACCGAGGAGCGGTGTGCACTGTGCTGGTTTCAGGGTGATTCCGGTGCGAGTTGATCGAAGATGCTATTGGTGCACGTTGGGGCAACAAAAAGCCGCACCGGGAGGGTGCGCTTCGTTGATCGAGGACGTACGGTGCGCACCGGTGCACTTGATCGAAGATGAAGGGGCGCACCTCAGTGCCCCGGTGCGCACCGGTGCGGATGATCGAGGATGCTATGACTTCCCGGCTTCCACGCTTCCGGTCGTCGCGGAGATGGCGACGTAGTGTTTTTGGCGGTTTTGGCGTCGCTGGCTCGTTCTGCGTTTTGGGGGGCAGATGTTTTTCGGTCCGTGTCCACTGCGTCTCTGGCTCTGAACTCGACGGCGCCTCTCATAGTTCAACCAGGCGTGGCCAACCTAGGTCAGGCCGGCTCGACTCGTCCGATCGCCGGACCGCAGGCGACTTCCCAGTTCGGCCGTGAGGCCTAGGATCCGAAGACGTCTGTCTCCGTGAAGCGGTAAGCGAATCTCGTCCCGTTTTCGTTCTACTTTTAAAGTACGTTAGGTGCGCTACAGTGTAAGCAAGCGTGCCAAGTGTTCGTAACAATTTTGAACTAGAATAATTGTGCTTCATTGCGGTTTGTCATTTACGGAAAATATAAATCGAGCAATGAACGAGGAGCCATGCTTGAAAACGATGCATGTACGATGTTAACTTCTACCTCGGCGGCTTTAAAAAAAGTCAAGACTGGTTACGGTTGGATGCGAGGCTGGTCCCAATGCAATGTTAAGCACTTAGAGCGCCTTTCTGACCGGCATGTAAGCAATATAGCGATCAACGAGACGAGCGACGGCGAGAAGCTACGAGTGCCGGCGCCGAGCGACGAAGATTTCTCACTCTCGCTGCTTGCGCCGCTCGGTTCTTGGGCTTCTACAAAACGTCGCTCATCGCCTTGGTCGCTCGCACCAATCGCTTTCATATTGTGTGTCTCGTCGCGCGGCTGACTACCGTGTTCATTCAAATACAAGTCGACCTCTTTTTTTTTTCTTTTTTTTTTTTTTTTGCAATTTGCGATTAAAGACTTTTGACCTACATTCGCGACCAAATTTTGCGACCCTAGCAGAGGCATGGACATATCGAGTCACCGAGCCGGAGTTGCCGTAGAGCCGCGCCGCTTCTTGTTTCAAAAAGCTTTTGGTGCACAAAAACAATTGAAATGGCCCGCGCGCGCGGTGGCCGGTGCCGCTATTGCGCGCATCTCGGGCGTCTGGTTTCGCCATTGCGCCTCTAGCCACTAGCGTTCTTCTTGCTGGGAAACGGGGAAGGAAAGAAACGCGATGCGCCATGTACTTTGCCCTCCATCCTCGCAAACGCGCACAACAAAAAAAGAAAAAAAAAAGTTACTTTTGTTTGTTGTTTGAGGCGGCTCGGCCAACGCTCGGCTCGCGTGTTGCTCATGGCGACACGGAGGCTTTGCTTGCGTCTTTGTAGTTTGTCTTTCGTCGCTTCGCACCTTCTTTCTTTTCTTCTTGTCGTCATTTTACAACGGTTTCAGTGAAGTATTGTTGCGAATTTTCGAGGATGTCTACCCAGCTGACGAAGCTTCGGACGACGATGACATGTCCAGAAGTTCTGACGGTGATTAAGTTTTTGGCATCGCCCCGTGATTTAGCTGAGAGTGATGTAAATAAAGGTTTGTTTCTTTTGCCCGAAATTTCCCCTCTTTTTAAAAATAAAAAAAAGGTCGACATATATTTGAATTATTTATTTTTTATTTTCGGTGGGTCCAACAAATAGGCTTCCCCTATTGGAAAACCCCAATATAAACAGCGTATTATGGATATTGGTAAACAGTATCTTTTTATTGTATTGCAATACAATATAGATAGTGTATAGGAAAACATTACATTTTTGTATTGTATTACAATAAGGATTCGTTATGGGATTCCAATATCCATAATACGCTGAAAATATTGGAATCCAATACCGTATAAACCCTTATTGGATCCCCATATGTCGTATGGGGATCCAATAAGGGTTTAAGATTCCAATATACTCAGCGTATTATGGATATTGGAATCCAATATATTATATCGGCTACCAATAAAACTATATACGAGTTGGAATATCACGTTTAGCGCAACATTTCTCTGCAACGCAGTCTCTTCTTGTGTGTATTTCTGAGTGATAAATTTAAAAAAATGTTGCTGTTGTCAAATTGTGAATAAAGTAGCAAAACACTGGACTTATCCATTCCAAATATATTTAGCATATTCCTGAACTGGAGGATCTGGCATTTACTGCAAAAGAAAGTAAAATGTTTAGGACTCTCATTCAAAAACTTGATGTTTGAAAACAGAATGTGAAATCCTCACCTTAATGAAAACAGCAACTGCTAGCTGTAGCCATATAGAAACTGCATAATAAAATTTTGTGATTAGTTTGCGACAAGTAGCAATCCTTCACCAAGCCGGATAGATTCAAAATTATGTCTGCGTTTGATTGTGGAAAAATAAGCTTCAATGCCACTGCCACAGGTCATTCTGAGCTCGGTCAATTAAATATACGTATCCGCTCGTCTGGCTTCACAATTCCTGCTTCGCACCTAACTAGAGTATCTGGAATGCTCACCTTTGAGGAAAAACGAACTGGTGCTTGCTTGCTTGTAGGCCGTGGAAACTGGAAGAGAGATTTGCGGTGAGTTGCGTCCAAGTAGCAGTTACTTTGAGTAGCCACGTAAAGTACGCCAAGTCTGAAAGATTCAAAATTACATGCGCGGGACATAGATATCCTCTCGCGACGTAACTGGGCACGTGTCAATGTCGCCCGCTTGTATTACAGAAAAATAAGCTTCAATGCAGGAGCTCCCAGTCGTTCTGAGCTCCGTCAATTAAAAATGCTGTACCGGTCATATGGCTTCAGTATTCCTGCTTCGGGAATCTGGAATTCTCACCTTTAAAGAAAAGCAAACTGGGACCTGCTGGCTCTTAGGCTGTGGAAACTGCCAGAAAGATTTGCGATTAGCTGCGTCCAAGTATCAATTTCTTTGACCAGCCACCTACAGCACACTAAGCCGGATAAATTCAAAATTACATGTGCGTGACATAATGTGCCTCTTGTGACAAAACTGGGCACACGTTTTGTCGCCTACAGCAACACTGAAGCCAGACAGACAAGCGGTACGACACCTTTAATTGACGGAGCTCAGAACGAGTAGGGACGCTTTCACTGAAGCTGGTTTTGCTGCAATACACACGTGTATTGCAGCAAAACAAGCTTCAGTAAAAGCGTCCCCAGTCGTTCTGTCAATTAAATATGCCGTACCGCTTGTCTGGCTTTAGTATTGCTGCTTCAGAGCAATCTAGAAAATCTAGAATCCTCACCTTTGAACGAGAACGAACTGGCGCCGGCTGGCTTGTGGGCCATGGAAACTGCAAGAGAGATTTGCGATTAGTTACGTCCAAGTAAAAATTTTTTTGGGTAGCCACCTACAGCACACTCAAAATTACATGCACGGGACACAGATGCCTCATGCGACGGAACTCCCTTCGTCCTTGTTTTCTGTTAACTCCGCTCACCTTCACCACTCGCCTCCAATTTCTGCGCTACTTCTTTAATCTCGATTCCCTGGTTCCCAAAGGCCATGCCATGGCTTGCGCCAGTCACGGATCTGTCAGCTCTGCGACTGGCGCTATTGTGGCAAAGACGCTACAGCACCTGGCGCTTGATGTGCTCTTTCAATATTTTGAGCACGGCTCAAAACAGGTGGATAGGTGTCTGGTATGCCCTTTGCTTATTTGCGGATCGTTCCGAATCAGAGGGTAGGCGCTTCTGCGACCTGGGCGCATGCTCGGTATTTTACAATAGTTGAAACCGAACTCTGCAGGAATCTTGAAACATAACAAACATAATGTGCACGCCAAAAGGCATAGCAAATGAAACACCCACCATCTAGCTATTTTCGTTTCTTGTCCGCAAGAAGCTGTCGTATATGTAGCCTCCCTTGCTTAAAGGGGCACTGACACCCCAAAGGTCGTATTTATTTTTATTGTCTAAAACGATGCAAGTTGCAGTAATAAACACGCAAAAAAAACCGCATCGCGAAAAAAATTTTCCCGCGCGCGCGCGCACCTTTTTATTTTTGGCGTTTGATTTTCCCGCCTCTCGCCTCCTCGCTTCTTTTGATCGGTGACGTCAAAAATCAGGAAATTTAGAAGCTTTGTAGGCGGCATCTTTATAACATTTAATGACGGCAATCCTAAAACATGTTTTTTAACGCAATTGCGAACGCACTACGGCCCTTCTTTTTGAAATACCAAAAATCGGGAGTTCGTTGTGGTGCCGTCTCCTGGATTTGTATCCTCCAACGGAAAACAGGCGACACCGCTCAAAACCGGTCCGCCGCAACGCCGGGCGCTCGTGTTGGCTCACTCCTTTCCTCCTCGCTTTGGGTCGCCATGGCAACAGCACGGAGTGGTGAAAGGAAGTGGACTCTCAGGTCTCCGTAATTTTTGACGTCAAGGCACCAACGCCGATCCCGCGGGAACTTCGAATTCGGCATTTGGAAATTGTTTTTTTACTTCACGAATACTGAATTCCCAAATCTTAAATTTTGAGGGTAATGTCCCGGCATCGTTTTCAATCGTTTCGGATAATAAAAAAAAATATGATTTTGATGTGTCAGTGCCCCTTTAAGCCGTTCCTCCCTAGTGTCCCGGTTGGGTCTCGTCCTGATGAATCGTCGGTGGAGACCTGAGGAGCGGTCAACATCAGATTAGACCTTTTTGAGACAGAACCATATACTTGCTGAGAGGAAGTACACCCAAACGAATCTCAGGCATGTCATTTATAGTGCGTTTTAAATTAAGACGCATGATGTAAAATGAGACGTCAATACTGACGCACCCCTATTGCGAACCCAAAATTTTGAAGGCCTTGTCCCCCTCGCTAGGGGGACAAGGCACATGAATCCCGGCATCTGGATAAAATTTTTACCTTAACATCCCGACTCAATGCCCATCCCTGAATATTCGACCACCACACTTTTAGAAAAAAAAAATTTTTTTTAGAAAACACCGAGTCATCTACCACCCCTACAAACGCCTGAACCAAGCATGCTCGTACCGTGGCTTGTTTGCTCCGTGCCGCCCCCGAGTTAATTCGGGCTGACAATGTTTTTTTTTTTTTTTTTTTTTTTTCAAATGGAACCCACATTCTTAGTTTTGGTTTGTCTTGTAGAAGCAGGTGGATACTTTTACAAAGCTTCCTCCCTATGCGCTTCCGAGTTAACATTTTTGCAATGGCCAACCCCCAGGCTTTGATTTTGCGCTCCTTGATGAATGCTGAAACTCATATAGGCGGCCAATCATGGTATGAAGCACCTTATGGCTGCAAGCTCTGACCGATCTTGTTCTGTGGTCTGCGCAGGCCCATTGCAGGCAGTCGCTCCGAGAGCCTCACCAGAGTTTCCTGCCCGTGGTCGTTCTAAATGTTCTTGTTGTAGGTATGCATCCTTTCTGTCTTTCTCTTAATTGTACTCAAACGTCGTCTTTTCATTGTCGCCGATTTGCCTCAAAATTGGTTAAGCACACAAATGGACGCTGTACAACTGTATCGCACATATCTTGTTCAAGGTAACTTTTCTTTCCCAAAGTTACAGATTTTTTTTATGAAGGTTAGTCTTTTTTGTTTTTATTTACAAATTTATGTGAGTTTTCATGGTTTTATGTGAGTTTCAAATTTATAAGAGTTTTATGTGAGTTTCATGTTATGCCAGAAGCAAGGACAAGTTCCCTGCTCTAATTTGTTCTCAACTGATTGCAAGAAATTTCGTTAATGTCGTGAAACCTCCTTCCAGCGCTTGCTTTGCAGCATGAAAAAAAAATGACAAATAGGACATACTCTGTTTTTAAACTGCTTGCTCATTCTGCAGGTCTGCCTGCCATAGATGTCGTGCTACTGGAGAGCAGGTGAATTCGATTGTTGGTTTTGCCATTTTTTTTGTTTTTTTTAGCTGTTGTCTTAATAGTTCTTGTAAATTTAGAGATTGTCCCAAAAAGCAAGCCGGGAAGAATATTTAGTTTGATTAGGTAGCTGAAAATAGTGATTTAGTACCCCTTTGTCAGTAAAATAGATAGTGTGTGCCGCTGTTAGTGTCAAACATCAAACATCAATATATAAAACTGTTGATGCCCAGTGAGAATTCAAGGTACCGAATCTGTTGTGCGAGTTAAGTAAGAACCAATAAAAAGTTCTACAAAGGAATTTTTTTTAAGGGGGCTGTATGGGTATTAGAATAGCACATGCCATGCTAAAAAAAAATGCAAATTCTTGTTAGGTATGCAAGGATGAGAATGCTGTACCGTTTCTGATGTGTCGCCAAACAAATTCTGCCATACAGTGTCGCATATGGAAGTTCAAAGTGTTGAATTCGAAGGCTAGAAGTTTTATTCAAGAATGTTCCTCACTACAAATGTATTTAGAGATCTGAGCCACCGACTCATGCATGACTATGTGGCAAACATTCATTTTCATGTGCATTATAGTTTACAAGGTCTAGTCTGCATTGATTTATTGCATTCATGCTGAAACTGGGAGGGGTTCCCTGTGTATGAATAAAGAGATAAACATTTCTTGAAATCAAAACATTTGAGAACGGACAAAAGGAAGGATCTGAGAACGGTATCTTAGATTCTCTTCTTTTTCTTACAGTATCTCTAATGTTCACTTTATTTCACCTGATGCATTTAGTTTTTAGCGCAGCTCTTAGCACCCGTTTCCGCGATTCCCGGCGTCGCTGTTGGCGTAACCGCCCAACTAAACTTGGCAGAAAATTGAATTAATGTTGCGGTCAGGTGACGTTAATATTTCCGCTAAGTCTAGCTGAGAAACTGAATTTTTTTATGAATGACGTGACACAGTCATGCGACGTCATTTTCCCCGCTACTTTTAGGGGGAAAACTGCATTTCTGTTGAGGTCATGTGACATCAATTTTCGCGCTAAATTTAGTGGGAAACTTAACCCGCTAAATTTAGTGGGGAAATTTTCCCGCTAAATTCAGGGAAATTTCCCCCTAAATGGGAGGAAGCAGAAGAGGAGGAGGGGAGGGGAAGGAGGGGCATACCCTCAAATCCTCCTCTTCAAGATCTGTACTCTAATTTCACATTACAAAGAATTGTAAACGTCTCATATTTCATCTCATGTTTTTTCAACTTTTACATTGCAGGTGCGCTTGCAGCACAAATCTGGGTTGTGCTGATCCTCTACGCACAAGTTAGGAACTCCTGAGCGGCAAGAGTGGGATTTTGGTCTGACAGCTCAAGGGACACCATTGTTCAGCCCCGCAGGGGGCACCTGTGAAAGCAGGTGTTTGGAGAGTGGCGTCTCCACGGACCCCAAGCCCCGCAGGGGGCACCTGCACCTTAGGTGCAAGGTGCTTGGTGAGTAGCGACACCACGGACCCCAGCCAGATTGGCTACATTACGGACCCTGAGTAAAAAGTGGGTAAGACCCACCTACGTCTGGCTGTGCGTGGCGAGCCCGTGTCCAGGGAAAAGGGCATCCTGGTGGTTGAGCCGAGCCCGGGGTAGGTTTGGACCCTTCGTGGCCCTCCGGGCCAGGCAACACACCACTTTGGCCCCTGCTTCCTGTAGACGGAT